GCCTTCCTTACCTTCTCAGATCTATTGTCTACCTCTTTTCTCTTTGCTAATCAGTTCTCAGCCTAATACAGTGGCAGTCCCTGTGACTCTAGTCTAGCTCTATCACAATCTCTACATCTGCAACAGTTTTGCACTTCATAGACCTCCAAGGGCTAGACATTTGGCTTAGTGACTACACAGAATGAACATATAAATCCTCCTGAGGAACTGCCTTCACGGGTGGTGAGCCACACTAAAGTCTATCATGGATTCTGTTCACACCTCATTTTCAGTCAAAAAAACAGAATAAATTGCCTGGCCCTTTCATCCTGTGCACCTGGCTTGTCTCCAGATAAATAATGACCAATTCAAAAAATATAATGCATTCTCTCTGTTTGAAGTTGTATTATTGTTCAAAGTAATCCTGAAGAAACCAGTACAGTCTAAAGGCTTTTCATATACAGTGATCTAAAATGTACCTGACTCTCCACGGTGACCTGAAGGACACTTTCCTGGATTGGTCAGCCTTACTGTGCTGGTTAATTAAATGCTCAGCCATAGCCACTTTCTACTGCTCTCCAACACTACTTTTTTTTTTTTTTTTTTTTTTTTTTTTTTTTTGGGTATGGGGGTTTTGCTTGCATGTATGTGAGTGCACCCATGTCGTGCAATGCTGCAGAGACGGTCAGAAGAGGGCTTCAGATTCCCCTGGAACTGGAGTTAAGGTCAGTTCGTAGCTGCCATGTGGGTGCTGGGAAGTGGACCTGGGCTCTCTGCAAGAGCAGTCAGTGCTTTTAACCCCTGAGCCATCTCTCTAGCCCCAATTCTACTTTTTTTTAAAAAAAAATTTAATGTTATGTGTATGAATGTTTTGCCTGCATCTATATAAGTGCACTCCTGTCATGCAGTGCTGTGGAGGACAGAAAAGGGTGTCAGATTTCCTGAAACTGGAGTTAGGGATGATTGTTAGCTGCCATGTGGGTGCTGGGAATTGAACCCTGATCCTCTGTAAGAGCAGCCAGTGCTTTTAACTGCAGATCCGTGTCTCCAGCCCCGCCAACTCCACTTTCCCATTCACCTTACAGAATGGAGTAATGGTTACTTTACCATCTCAAAATCCCCATCACTGCATCCATTCTGCTGCAGCTGGTGGCCCTCTTACTAGGAGCTGGAAGCAAAGAGCTTGCTCATTCTGAGCTTCCATTCTACCAGCTGTTTGATAATAGTTGTAATCCTAATGATCTATGGTAGGACCTGAAAGAGGACAGTGATTTCCATTCAGGACTATCAGCACACTTAGAACTAGTGACAGGTCTCAACAGGCCCGCCACTGGTATGAGCACACGTGTTTATGTTTCTACTTAATACAGAACAGAGTGCTTTGAATCTGAGAAGCTTTTTCTTTTTTTTTTTCTAAAATATTTTATTATTTTTATGTATATGGGTGTATTCCCTGCATGTGTGTATGTTCACCCACATCATGCAGTGCCCATAGAGGTCAGAAGAGGGCGTCAGCTCCCCTGGGACTGAACTGGAATTATGGACAGTTAGCCACCATGTGGGTGCTGGGAATCAAACCCGGGTCCTCTGCAAGAGAAGACAGTGCTCTTAACTGCTGAACCATCTCTCCAGCCCCTTTTCTTTCTTTTTTTAATAGAAGGGTCTCATATTGCCCCAGACTGGCCTATGTAGTGGAGGATGATACTCCTGCCTTCACCTCCCAAGTGCAAGGGTTACATAAAGACCTGTACCACCACACCCAAAGAGAAGCATTTTGTTTTGTTTTGATTTTGGTTTGGGGTTGTTGTTAGTTTTTTGTTTGGTTGGCTTTTGTTTTGAGAGACGGTCTCACTATGTAGCCCTGTCTGGCCTGAAACTTGCTATGTAGACCAAACTGTACTTGAACTCACAGAGATCCACTTGCCTCTACCTCTTGAGAAAGGCATTATTTTTTTTTAAATCTACATAGTAGGCTGATTTATTAGCCACAGTACTATTAGCGCATGAAGGAAAAAATAATGCCTGCCTTTATAAAGCTAACACAACAGCCCTGGGATAGCATGCAAACAGACATGAGACAATTAGAGCATAGTTATTTACTGAACTTGGAGGGGCATTACAGAAATTCTGAGAGGGAAAGAATCTATGTGAATTGGGGTAATTAGGAAATTCTCTCTTGAGAATGGATGCTGAAGAACAGAGCATAGGGGTTTGAATAGAGGCAAGTCATTAAAAGCCAGTGAAGGGGTGGTAAAGTACAGGCAGAAGTGGACTTGTCTTGAGGGTGATGTGGCAGAAGCACAACTGAATAGAGAGCAGTTTTTGAGATCTGCTAGAAGGAAATACAGCATGCATCACAGAGCATAGATGAAACATGACTGGATATGTGTGATGGGATGGCTAAGTGATAAGGCTTTGTTGGCTTTTAATTTTTATTTGTTTGTTTGTTTATTTATTTATTTTTATATGTACAAGTGTTTTGCCTGCATTACATGTACCTAAGTCATGCACTTAACCACTGCCTGCAGAGGCCCGAAGAGGGTGCCACATCCCCTGGAACTGGAGGTAGAATAGTTGTTGGCCGCCATGTGGGTATTGGAACTGAACCCAAGTCCTCTGCAAGAGCAGCTAGAGCTCTTAACCATTCTGAGCCATCTTTCCAACCCCTTTGTAGGGTTTTTTTTTTGTCTCTTTGAGACAGGGTCTCCCTGTAGCCCCAGCTGTCCTGGAATTCACTATGTAACCAGGCTGGCCTTGAACTCACAGAGATCCGCCTGCCTCTGCCTCCTGAGTGCTGGGATTAAAGGCGTGTGCCACCACGCCCGGCCTTTGTAGGTTTTTAAATAGGCAAATGAAATACATGAAAAAAGTATTTTAATAAAATGGTCTGGCAACAATATACAAGTCACAGGTGTGGGTCCAGGCTGCTGTGAGGGTCATTGGGAAGCCAGTGAGGCTTTGGCCCAGGTTGGTGGCCCAGGCCAGAAAGGAAGATGCCTATGAGAGGTACCTGAAAAGAAGAAGCAGTTGAACCTCCTAACAATCTCAGAATGGAGGTTGAGAACAGCCACTGCTGACTTAGAAGTTCCTGTCTAACTTGTAAGAACTCTGGTGTTGCAGGAAGAGATGGGGAAAGGGAACTAGGTTAGGAAGATGAAAGTGAGAAGAATATGTGAAAATACCCTAGAAGCTTCTAGCAGATAGGCCTCCCAGAGGAGATGATACCAGCCCTGACCTGTCATGATATAATTCTACTGCATCAGCCATTTTGTCTTCATGGTAGAAATAGGGTCATTGTCCAGAACAACACAGAGAAACATGAGCCAACTCGGGACTGTGAGTCTTAGTAGATCTAGTATTTTCTCTATGAATTGGGGGTTTTGTGTTTTTAGTTTTTTCAGTCTGCATAGCAGACTAGCCTTGAACTTGAACTTCTGCCACAGGCTTCTGGAGTTACAAGCATATGCCATTCTACCTAGTTCACCTGTGAAATTTTAAACCTAACTCCATGACCCTTTTGCCAAAGGGTTCAAAGACCAGCTGGTCAAGAAGAAAGTCTTGGACATCAATAGCCCCCTTCCCACTCTTAGAAAAGGGGTATGGTCCTGCCTCAGCAGTCCCCCATGCTTCCTCTTAGGAAATGGGGGCCCTGGTGGACAGCATACCTGAGGATGACATCTGAGGCTATCCTCTGGCTTCCATGTACACGTTCATACATGCAAACATGTGCACGCATGCACACACAACAAATTCTTTTAAAGGCAGGGGGACTTTCACTCCACTCTCCTGTTTGGATTATCCTGTGAAACAATTGATGACCTGGATGTGCCACATTTCTGGAATCCTAGCACTTGGGAGACTGAGGTAGGAGGGGCATGAACTGCGACCAGCCTGGTCAACTTAGTAAGATACTGCCTCAAAAAAAGTGCTTTTTGGTGAGGCTGATGTTCAGCTGAGAAGAAACTGGCATTCCTCAAGGGGAACAGCTTCTGTTCAAGTGGGCTTGTCACTATGCGACAGCTCAGGGAGCTGGAGGGGAGGGGAGGGGCGTGGCAGGAGCTGCAGCCTGTGTACAGTAAGAGGAGTTGGCCATCAAAAGGCAACAAGTCTCATACCCTGCCCCGGACGCTGACCCTTCCCTGTGGAATTCTCCCCTCTGACCTCTAGATCATTAATCCTGAGGCTGCCAAATGACAGTCATCCATCACGCCTCCTGACTAGCATCCCAGCCTTCTGTGAAAGGACCTGGGCCCCACCCTCCTGTCCCCTGGTGCTCATTAGTAGCCCTTCCTGCCTAGTGCCAGGTTTCCTAATCAAGTCCCTGGCTCCTCTCACTTCCCCTCTGGGCTAGTGGGCGGAAGCTGCTATGACCCTCCCTCTTTCATAGGCTAGGGAGGGGGTGGAGTGATTAGTGGCGAGAGAATTGTTGAGTGGCTTTTCATTCCCTGAGAGACCCGTGTGTCCAGCAGCTCTTTTGACTTGGCAGGCCACAAGAGAAAATGAAACCACGTCTCCATTCTGTCACAGGCAAGAAGGCAGGCAGTCTGAAAAGGAGCATGCTGTTCAACTGCTCTCAGAGCTACTGGGGAGTGAGTCAGGGCAGGCTTCCCAGAGGAGGCAGCTTCTAAATGGATTCCAAAGACTTCAGAGGAATATAAATTGCCAGATCATTAGAAAATTATCTAAGGGGCTGGAGGGATGGCTCAGCAGTTAAAAGCACTGTCTGTTCTTCCACAGACAAACAAAACACTCTAAATTCATCTAGTCTAGCCACCTTTTATTTACAGTTGGAAAAACAGGTCTGGAGAGGCCAAGTGACTTGCCTAAGGCCTTTCCTGCTCGTCCCATATAATTGACAATTAGTGTAACAGCTTTCAGATCTGGGGCATTTGAGTCCTATAACACTTTTAAGATTCACAAGCATTGTATCTAGCCTAACCGTAAGCATACATACACAGATGTGATGCCTTGCTCAGCTTGACTGTAACACAACCCTCCCCTTTCTCTTTGGACAATCCCAGGGACCCCCATCAACCGGATCCCCATCATGGCCAAGCAGATCCTGGACCTGTATATGCTGTATAAGCTGGTAACAGAAAAGGGGGGCTTGGTGGAGATCATCAACAAGAAAATCTGGAGGGAGATCACCAAGGGCCTGAACCTGCCTACGTCTATCACCAGTGCTGCCTTCACCCTCAGGACCCAGTGAGTGGTCAGAGCTAAGAAGGAAGCTGAGCAGAGACCAGTGGTGTGTTAACCTAAGTCACAGGAGACAGGAAGGGAGGAAGGAGTAGAATTTTTGAAACAGAGGGGACCTCAGACCAGGCAACACTGAGAGTGGCCCTCACCATGGCTCTCATGTGCCAGTATTTTACCATTCTGTTTGACTTAAACCTCACAATCAGTCCTGGTAAGAAGATACTTCCCCACTTTCTAGATTATAAGAACTAAGTTTCTGGGGTTAAATAATTTAGCTGAAACTGTACTGGGCCAGTCAGCAGGAGGCCTGAGATTCAAACCTGGTCTTCTGTCCCTGCAGTCCACATTCTTTCCAGGACATAATCACATAAGTGGCCCCTCTTACCCAGTTTTCAGCCTCAGGTCAATCCAACCTCATTGGTTTGCTGACCTGTTTTGTCATTGATTAACTATTTACAAGGGTTGGCAGAACCAGTAAAATCAAGAGTAGCATTGTAGGAATGAAACATTTTCTGGAATGTTCTAGAAGTTGTTCTGTAAAGAATAGAAAATGAACAGTGGTGTATCTGTCAGATAACCTGTCCTGGCCTTGTTGAAAGAGGGAAAAGTTTTGGGGACTAGCAAGATGGCTCAGTGGGTAAAGGCACTTGCTGGCAAGCCCGATAACCTGAGTTCAATCCCTGAGACCCACAGGGTGGAGGAAGAGAAATCACTCCTATAAGTTGTCCTCTCACCTTCACACCTACACAGTGGTATACATGTGCGCACGCACGCACACACACACACACAAAATAAATAAATAAATTTTAAAAAGAAAAAATAGAAATGGAATGTTTTTTTCTTTGGGGACTAGTCCAGTAGAAATGGAGACAACTGTAACTAGAATGTCAGCATTTGGGGAAAGGATTGGCTTCTTTGGACAGATGACATATACAAAGAAGGGCAACCCTCCTGTCCTCCACACACAATGGGGAGAATTGGTCCTGTTTGACTAGCCTAACTGAACTGTGAGGCACCTAAGGAGCCATGAAGGCCCTGCAGAGCTCAGGCCACATGACGGGTACTCTAAAGATACTGAAACCTCCAGGTTCCCTTAGTGACTGATCCAAGCAATGTATATGCCTTCAGGAGTAGACTTTCAAGAAGCCGAGAGGGGTATATCCAGTGATCCCAGACTTCTTCTTCTTCCATGTGCACCACACCCTAGCTCTTGCCTGACCAAGGCTGCTTCTAGATACACATCACTGTGAACTGGGCAGATTCTGAAACTGTGTTTTAGATGATTCTCCTTATCCCCACAGGTACATGAAGTATCTCTATGCCTATGAGTGTGAGAAGAAAGCCTTGAGCTCCCCAGCAGAGCTGCAGGCAGCCATTGATGGCAACCGTAGGGAGGGTCGGCGGCCCAGCTACAGCTCCTCCCTCTTTGGCTACTCTCCTGCTGCTGCTGCCGCTGCCGCTGCTGCTGCTGCTGCTGCTAGTGCTGCCGCTGCTGGGACCCCTGCCCTTCTCTCACCCCCCAAAATCCGCTTTCCCATCCTCGGGCTTGGCTCCAGCAGTGGCACCAATGCTGGTAGCCCTCGGATACCCCCAGCAGCCACTCTCAGGAAAGGTAAGTAAGACCTCTGGAGGAAGAAGGAAGGGAAGAAAAAAGTCCAGTTCCTCTTTGCCCAGGAAAGGCATTGAGGTAAAGGGGTCATTGTAGACTGGTCCAACTCTGGTTCCTTCACAGGTGATGGAGTCCCAGTGACAACAGTGCCTGTGCCAAATCGCCTGGCTGTGCCTGGGACCTTGGCAGGCCAGCAGGCTGGTAACCGGACTGCCACTCTGGAGCAACTACGGGAGCGACTAGAATCTGGGGAACCCCCTGAGAAGAAGGCATCAAGGCTATCAGAGGAGGAACAGCGCCTGGTGCAGCAGGCCTTCCAGCGCAACCTCTTCAACATGGCGCGGCAGCTCCCCATGAAGATCAGGATCAATGGCAGGGGTGAGTGCCAGTGTGTGGCTCCATCTTTCCTTCATAATGCCTGCCACACCCCAGCTCCACTCAAGGCACTGGGGCTGGGTGGAGTAAGGGGCATCCTCATGACCTCCTGGCCTAGAACCCCCACCCCACCCCTGTTACTTCCCAGCTGTAGAAGAGTCTAGAGACCAAAAGAGAGCCAATGGAGGTTTCTATGGCCATTGAAATCTCATCTCACAACCTGGATATTTTCTGAAGATCAGAATTGCCTCATGCAGTGAAATCCTTTCCTAGGAAGAAGGAAAAGCAGCTAGTCAAAGAGGAGGAGCCAGAGATAGGTGCTGTGCTCCTCCAACCCTGCCTAGCCTTTTGATCTGTCTAAATTATAGGGCTTGCATCCTCCCCAGTATCTTACAAGATGTGGACTGTGGCCAGGTTTGGGAGAAAGACACCTTTGTCATTTCTTAGAAATTGGAGGCCACCAGTGGCCTCACGAGTAAAAGTAGGAAATACAAGTTTGGTGGTATAATTGACATCTTTTCCCTTTCCTTCCTCATTTCTCTAGTGTCCCACCTCTTCCCAAACCACACCCCATTTCCCTCATTCTGCTGCCTACACTCACTTTCCTCAAGTCCCTTTTCTGTGCTATTGTAGCTGCGGCTCTCCAACAAAGCAAACATGGGCAAGTGTGTGCTGGGAAGGGAGGTGGGTGTGAAAGGGGCTGTGCACATTCCCAGACAGCCCTCCCCTGAATGACAGGCAGAATGAAGCCCACAGGGAACCACACAGAGACCAGTGGAAAAGGCAGCTCACTTGGAAGAATGCTTGGCTCTTGAGGAGAGAGGGCAGAGGCTAATGAGCCAGGTAGAAGCTCTGTTTGCCAGCTGCCCTTCTGACCAGAGAGGGCCCAGTGCTAGAGACAAAGCTCCCGCTCCATGAGAGACTCACAGTTCAGATGTATAGAAGGCAGGGTAAGGCTTCAGAAGCAGTGCTAGGTCTTGTTGGAATCTGATTTCCTAGGCCTGCTGTATGATGGGTGCTGAGTTAGGGTTGACCTGCTGTCCTTTCATGAGAGCTGGGAAATGACCTGGCTCATTGAAGGAAGCCAGCATTAGGAAACTGGCAAGCTTGTTCTATGACCAGACCTATTCTCAGAGCTAGTTAATGCAGGTACTTCAGACAGTGTTAGGCCCTAGTCTTGGATGGCCAGGAAGCACCAAAGAGGGCCTCAGGAAGCTTGACCAGGCCTGCTTCCTCTCTGACCCCGCAGAAGACAGAGCAGAGACCTCGGCTGCAGCACTGAACCTAACCACAAGCAGCATCGGGAGCATCAACATGTCTGTGGACATTGATGGCACCACCTATGCAGGTAGGCCCCAGGAGCTGCAGGGAGGCCCTTTCTCTCATCCTCATGTCTGAACACTCCAGGTGCTTCCTTTTGTGTCAGCTTAGCATTCCAAAGGTAAAGAAATCCTGATCTGTACATGTGTGGATTAACAGGATGACAGGTCCCCTTCCATAGAGACAGAAACCCTTCCTTTAACCCTTTCCATCAGTGATTGGTCTGTTGGTTGAAGATAGCATTTAATATAATTATTTATAAACAGTCCTATATCCACCTGTTTTTAAAGTCAGGATCTCCCTGAAACCCTAGCTGGCCTATGTAGACCAGGCTGGCCTCGATCTCTGTCTTTTTTAAATGGACCAAGGACTAAGACACCATCTGCAATCCCAACACTCAGGAGGCTGAGCAACATTGCCGTGAGTTCAAGGCCAGTAGGAGCTACAGAATGGGACCCTGTCAAAAACAAATACAATAAAATATACCAGCAAAGGAATCTGAGCACTGCAGAAGAAGCCTTGGTCTCTAGGGACTTTCCCATTTCTCAGTTGGATCTCCCTAATCCTAATTTTCCAGAAGTATTATGGTAGTTGGTTGGGTTAGCATCGCAAACTAACACAAGGTATTACCAAGGTATTCAACAAGAGTTCAGAGCCGGGTGTGGGGATGCACACCTTTACTCCTAACTCTCGAGAAGCAGAGGCAGGTGGATCTCTGTGAGATTGAGGCCAGCCTGGTCCTACATAGTGAGTTGCAGGGTTCCAGGTCAGCTGTGGCTACAGGGAGATCCTGTCTTGAAAAAAAAAACAACTTGGCTAGAGAGGTGGCTCAGCAGTTAAGAGCACTGACTGCTCTTGGCAGAGGACCTGAGTTCGATTCCCAGCACCCACATGGCAGCTAACAATTGTCTCTTAACTCCAGTTCAAGGGAGTCCAGTGCCTTCTTCTGACCTCTACAGGCATTATACAACCTGTGTGCACTTACATGCAGGCAGTATACTCATATACATAAAATAAAAGTAATTAAAAATTTTTGGTCTTTTTGAGACAGGGTCTCCCTCTAGCCCCAGCTGGCCTGGTACTCACTATGTAGACCTCCATCTCAGAGAGCTCCACCTGCCTCTGCCTCCACCTCCTAAGTGCTGAGAATAAAGGTATGCATCTACACACCTGGATTTTTTTAAAAAATCAACTTAAGAGTTCACAGAGGTAACAAGACTCCACACTCTTAGCTCTTCCACCAGTTTAGGGACAAGGTTGGGAATAAGCTCAGGCTGGTGACATCTGCCTATTTTACCAGGGCAAGAGGCGTATCAGCTGCCTGGTGAGTGTCCACTTACAGGCTGGTAAAGCCCTACATTCAAACCATAGGGCCAATTCTTGGCCATCTCAACACTTAAGCTCCAGGTCTCTGTTGGGCCACCTGCCATAGGCGTCAGGGTTGAGGCAGGGAAGGGATAGGGTTCTTGAAAGCAGCGTCCCAGTGTGGCTCACCAGTCTCTTACATTGTCCTGGTGCCCTGTGCTCTCCCATGATGTGGCTTAGCAGGTGGAGGCTGGGTTGGGTCTTAGAGAAAACAGGAACTGGGAGTTGTGGCTGGATCTTTATATCTTCTTGTCCTCTTCCCAGAAGAAAGGAAGGCTAATTTCTCCTTTTCTCTCAGAACATGAAGGGTCAGGAGTTGAGGCTCCCTGCGCCCTGAGAAAGGAGCCCATTCACCTGTCTTGACCCTGACTGTCTCAGGCTCTTTGTTGGAAAGTGATGGCCAGGCTGGGAACCTGAAGGTGGTTCTGAGAGCTTGCTGCCCTCCTGTCCTCTTGGAGTTCCTTCCTACCTCCTTCCTGTCCCTCCTGCTGCCACCACTAGGCTGGCTCCCCTGCAGGCTTTCCCTTCAGCACCTCTGTTGCTCTCACCTCCCCGAGAACGAAAAACGTCCTGAACCCCAAAATCTTTTGTCCTCCTGAAACTTTCATAGCCTCCAGTAGCTTCTCTCCTCCCAGCCCCTCTGCTGTTACCATGCCATTCACACCTCTCCTGCTGATGTGTCTCAGGTTCCCTAACCACTTTTCCCCTTCTGGCAGTCCAGGCATACTCTACCAGAGCCTTTCCTAGGCTGTGTTTCTGCCCCTTCCCCACCAGCCTCCCCACTCCCTACCTGTGTCCCCTAACACCAGACCGACACCAACCCCAGAAGATTTTATGAATTCTAGCAAAGATACTCATTACCTCTCTGGCCCTTCAGCAGCCTGCGAGTCTGGGCTTCCACTAGCACTGGTATCTGGCATGACGTGGAGAGTGGAACACACAGGGCTAGGCCAACAGTCAGGCCTTATGGAAGAGAACTGAGCCACACTGCTTCTCCTCCCACTCTAGGTGTGCTATTTGCCCAGAAGCCCGTGGTCCACCTCATTGCAGGCTCTGCTCCCCAGAGCATCAGCAGCAGCGCCAGCAGCAGCAGCTCTCATTGCTCACCAAGTCCTACCTCATCTCGGGGCACCCCCAGCGCAGAGCCCTCCACCAGCTGGTCCCTCTGATGGACAGCGCCCAGTACCCACGCCCTACTCTCGTGCTGAGAGGGAAGGAAGTTGATGCACAGATTTACCTCATCTCATGGAGCCCACGTCAGATACCTTCTGGCCAGACCTTGAGTTTGGACATGTCCGTCTGTCCAGGCTCCATTCAGGTCCTGCTGTACTCTGGGGGCAGGGAGAGACTGGAGGGGCAGGACAGAGCAGCGTTGTCCAATCAGGGATTGTCCTGGAGAACTGGGCGGGGGTCTGAGCCTGGGCATCCAGCCTTCTGTCGGGTTCCCCAGCCACCTCCCATTCCCCAGAACACTGTATTGACAATCTGTAAGGCGACATGGAGCTGGAGTCCCTCCACTGCCCTTCCCCCTTAATTTATTTCCTTTCTGCTGCCTTCTGCCTTCAACCCAGGATCACCAGTCTCCTCCTCTGCCCAGTCCCCCAATGTTTAAATCCCATTTGGGGCCATAGGAGCCAGAAGCATGTCTTCTGCTCTTGACTGCTAAGCATGAGATGGGGGTGCGGCGTTCCCAGCCCTCTGTGCTTGCTGCTTGGTTCCTTGGGTGAGGAACTCTCAAGTCCAAGTCTTGAATCAGTCAGTCCACAGGGCTCTGGATCTCCCTTTTGTGGTCCCAAGAAAGAGCACAAGGGCAGGCTTCAGGTTCAGGACCTCTGGGCATGAGAGGGAGGAAGGAAGAGCTCATGCTGTCCAGGCCCTGGTACCCACCTAACAAGACTGTTCGGACCTCCAAACCTCAGGCTTCCCACTTGCCCATGTTGGCCAGCTCTCCCAGAATAGCCACTTGTCTCTGGCCCCTGTCGCCGTCTCTTGGGGCCATCTCAGCCCCTACTGAAATACCTCAGATTTGTACTTGTTGATATTTGATTCTTCAGGAAGTATTGCATCTCTGAAATCTTTTTTATATGTGTTTTGCTGACTTAATTTTAAAATTTTTATTGTTGTTGCTGTTGTAGCACCAAAGAAATGAAAGCAGATCGTTCCAGCCAGGTGCGGTTCGCAGCCAGCCTCCCTCCAACCTGCCCATGCCCTGGCCAGGAGGTGAAGCAGGCGGGGTGACTCAGGGATCACTACAGGGAGGGTGGATAGGGGGCCCATGCTTGCTGATGGACCCTGAAACCATGCTGGTTACTTCTGCCCCTACCCCAGCTGACAAGGTAGGGCAGCCATCTCTCTGCCCTCAGAGTCCCCACCTTGGGACACAGGCAAGTCGCTCTGGCTCCTGCCTGAGGCTGAGCTCCAGGGATGGGAAGATGCTGAGAGCTCTGTCTCCTCTTAGCATGCAGCTGGAGCTTGTGGTAGAAAAAGACTTGTACAAGGCTTCCCTCTCAGGCCAGTGTCCTGCTGTTACATAAAGCACCATCCACTGGGGCTCCTCAGGCTGGGGGTGGGGGGTGGGGTGGCACAGAACAGCTCACTCAATCCTGTTAGAAAAAGAAAGGGAAACCAAAAGCTTGTGCACAAACATACCTCAGCCTGGTAAGCACAGCACTGTTGGCCTGTCTCCTCTCCCTGCCCCAGTGCATGTGCATAATCACACACACACACACACACTCTCTCTCTCTCTCTCTCTCTCTCTCTCTCTCTCTCTCTCCCCCCCCACTCCCTCCCTCCCTCCCTCCTTCCCTGAGGATCTGGCCTCAGAAACCTTACCCACGAGACACATGCAGTGCTAGGCAGATGACAGCTGGAATCTGGTGCTGGTGAGAAGCCCATTTGGCCAGTGTGTCTCAGGGTTTGGTCACAAAGGATAAACCCTTCCTACCCAGGGAAGACAGGGACAGTGCACTGTGTCTTTCTGGTACTTGCATCTTTCCCTTCCCCAGGCAGCTTGCCCACATTTCCCTCTGAGTGCCCCTCTCTACCCTCAAGCCAGCAGCAGGCTCCTAGCCAGAAAATTTGAGACCTGGATGCCAGCAGGTGCCCAGCATTAAGGCTCTGGCCCAAGTGGAGCGTTCCCTATAAATGTGGTCCTAAGGCCATGTGGTAGGCAGTTGACCAGGACAGCGTTGTCCCCTCCCCCTTCCTGTTATGTATGTATTCTAACCAGAAAAAAATGTGATAGCACATGGTAGCCTAGCCGTGAATAAATACCTCAGATGTCCTTTTGCAGCAATTTCTGTATATGTTGTGGTTATTTTCTATTTTATGTGTTCTCGAATGCTTATATTTCAATAAACCTCTACCTCTTCACACAAGCAGGTCTGGATTTCTTTCAGTGACTTCCACTTGGCAAGATCCTTCAGAATGAAAAAGGACCAGTGAAGTACAAACCCAGACAGCAACTAAGATACATGAAGGACAAGGAGAGCCAGGCATGGGGGCCTTTGTCTGTAGGCCCAGCAGTTGAAAGGCTGGTGCAGGAGGCTTACATAAGAGACCAGTCCAGACTACTGAACAAGGCCCCACCTCCAAAGACCAGAAGGCTGAGTGAGAGGGGAGGGGTGGGTGGTTTTTCCTTTTTTTCTTTAATACTTCACAAATTTGTGTGTCATCCTTTTGTAGGGTCATGCTAATTTTCTGTTATCATTCCAGTTTTTTTGGTATATGTCCTGCAGAAGCGAGCATGGGGTGGGTGGTTTTAACAAGCCAATGGACTGCCCCATACTGGGGTGAGGAGACAAGAGATGACGTTGTGGGAGGGCAGGGGGCTCGAGCAGGTAGAGGAAGCTGGCTAGGAGGGAGGGGTGTCTGGCCAGTGGAATTAGTTGGACACAGCCTATGGAATATTTTTCTGGCAAGGAACTGCCCAGTAGCAGAGACAAGAGGAGTTTCTTCTGAATCCCAGGTATATGAAGGAGCCCAAAGACAGCTGCCCTTAACACTGGCCTCAGGAAGAGCCTAGAACCTGCGTCTTTTACCTGAAAGATCTCTCTCTCTCTCTCTCTCTCTCTCTC